TAACAAGGTCTGAAGTTAAGGCAGCAATTAATAGCCTACCAACCAAAAAAAAAGTCCAGGTCCAGATGGGTTTACAGCTGAATTCTACCAGACGTACAAGGTGGAGGTGGTACCATTCCTTCTGAAACTATTCCAAACAATACAAAACGAAGGAATCCTCCGTAACTAATTTTATGAGACCAACATCATTCTGATACCAAAACCTGGCAGAGACATAACTTAAAAAAAAAGAGAAAAAAAACACAAAACTTCAGGCCAATATCCATGATTAACATCGATGCAAAAATCTTCAATAAAATATTGGCAAACCAAATCTAACAGCACATCAAAACTTTATCCATCACAATAAAGTAGGATTCATCCCGGGAATGCAAGGCTGGTTCAACATGTGCAAATCTATAAATGTAATCCATCATATAAACAGAACCAAAGAAAAAAAAAGACATGATCATCTCAATAGATGCAGAGAAGACCTTCAACAAAATTCAACTGCCCTTTATGCTAAAAGCTCTCAATAAACTAGGTATCGATGGAATGTATCTCAAAATAATAAAAGCTATTTACGACAAACCCACAGCCAATATCATACTGAATGGGCAAAAGCTGGAAGCACTTCCTTTGAAAACTGGCACTAGACAAGGGTACCCTCTCTCACCAATCCTATTCAACATAGTATTGAAGTTCTAGCCAGAAAATAAAATAAAATAAAGGTATTCAATTAGGAAAAGAGTAAGTCAAATTGTCTCTATTTGTAGATGACATGATTGTGTAATTAGAAAAGCCCATCATCTCAGCCCAAAATCTCCTTAAGATGATAAGCAACTTCAGCAAAGTCTCAGGATACAAAATCAATCTGCAAAAATCACAAGCATTCCTATACACCAATAACAGACTAAGAGCCAAATCATAAGCTAACTCCCATTTACAATTGCCACAAAGAGAATAAACCTAGGAATACAACTAAGAAAGGATGTGAAGAACCTTTTCAAGGAGAACTACAAACCACTTCTCAAGGAAATAAAAGAGAACACAAATCGATTAAAAAAAAATTCCATGCTCATGGTTAAGAAGAATCAATATCGTGAAAATGGTCATACTGCCCAAAGTAATTTATAGATTCAATGCTATCCCCATCAAGCTACCATTGACCTTCACAGACCTGGAAAAAAACCACCTTAAACTTCATACGGGACCAAAAAAGAGTCTGCATAGCCAAGACAATCCTAAGCAAAAAGAACAAAGCAGGAGGCAGCACGCTAACTGACTTCAAACTATACTACAAGGCTACATTAATCAAAACAGCATGGTACTGGTACCAAAACAGAGATATAGACCAATGGAACAGAACAGAGGCCTCGGAAGTAATGCCACACATCTACAACCATCTGATCTTTTGAGAAATCTGACAACAACAAGCAATGGGGAAACTATTCCCCACTTAATAAATGCTGTTGGGAAAACTGGCCAGCTATGTGCAGAAAGCAGAAACTGGACCCCTTCCTGACACCTGACACAAAAATTAACTCCAGATGGATTAAAGATTTAAACATTAAGACCTAACACCATAAAAACCCTAGAAGAAAACATAGGCAAAACCATTCAGGACATAGGCATAGGCAAGGACTTCATGACTGAAACATCAAAAGCATTGGCAGCAAAAGCCAAAATAGACAAATGGGATCTAATTAAACTCCAGCACTCCTGTACAGCAAAAGAAACAATCATTAGAGTGAACCGGCAACCAAAAGAATGGGAAAAAATTTTTGCAATCTACCCATCTGACAAAGGGCTAATATCCAGAATCTACAAAGAACTAAAGCAGATTTACAAGAAAAAAACGCCCCATCCAAAACTGAGCGAAGGATATGAACAGACACGTTTCAAAAGAAGATATTCATGTGGCCAACAAACATATTTAAAAAATCATCACTGGGCTGGGCGCGGTGGCTCAAGCCTGTAATCCCAGCACTTTGGGAGGCCCAGGCGGGTGGATCACAAGGTCAAGAGATCGAGACCATCCTGGTCAACATGGTGAAACGCCGTCTCTACTAAAAATACAAAAAATTAGCTGGGCATGGTGGCGCGTGCCTGTAATCCCAGCTACTCAGGAGGCTGAGGCAGGAGAATTGCCTGAACCCAGGAGGCGGAGGTTGCGGTGAGCTGAGATCGCACCATTGCACTCCAGCCTGGGTAACATGAGTGAAACTCCGTCTCAAAAAAAAAAAAAAAAAAAAAAATCACTGGTCACTAGAGAAATGCAAATCAAAACCACATTGAGATACCATCTCACACCAGTTAGAATGCTGATCATTAAAAAATCTGGAGACGACAGATGCTGGAGAGGATGTGGAGAAATAGGAACACTTTTACACTGTTAGTGGGAGTGTACATTAGTTCAACCATTTTGGAAGACGATGTGGCGATTCCTCAAGGATCTAGAAATAGAAATACCATTTGACCCAGCAATCCCATTACTGGTTACATACCCAAAGGATTATAAATCATTCTATTATAAAGACACAGGCACACGTTAATGTTCACTGTGGCACTGTTTACAACAGCAAAGACCTGGAACCAACCCAAATGCCCATCAATGATAGACTGGATAAAATGTGGCACATATACACCATGGAATACTATGCAGCCATAAAAAAGGATGAGTTCATGTCCTTTGGAGGGACACAGATGAAGCCGGAAACTATCATTCTCAGCAAACTGACACAAGAACAGAAAACCAAACACCACTTGTTTTCACTCATAGGTGGGTGTTGAACATGGAGAACACACAGACACAGGGAGGAGAACATCACACACTGGGGTATTTTGCGGGTTGGGAGTCTAGGGGAGGAATAGCAGGGGGGCAGAGGGTGGAGAGGTTGGGGAGGGAATAACATTGGAAGAAATGCCTGATGTAGGTGATGGGGGAATGGAGGCAGCAAACAACCATGGCATGTGTGTACCTATGCAACAATCCTGCAAGAACTGCACATGTACCCCAGAACTTAAAATGTAGTAAGAAAAAAAGAAAAAAAAAAGAATGGTACTAATATTAATATTCATCTAATTTTTTTTGATGAGCAATTTTTTTTTTTACATCATTCCAGCTACTTGTTACTAATATGTAAGATATTCTGGAGCCACATTAAGAATTACTAGTAAATGGTCAGATACGGTGGCTCACGCAGGTAATCCCAGCACTTTGGGAGGCCGAGGTGGGCAGATCACCTGAGGTCAGGAGTTTTGAGACCAACCTGACCAACGTGGAGAAACCCCATCTCTACTAAAAACACACAAAAAAATAAGCCAGGCATGGTGCCACATGCCTATAATCCCAGCTACTCGGGAGGCTGAGGCAGAACAGCTTGATCCCGGGAGGCAAAGGTTGCGGTGAACTGAGATCGCACCAGTGCACTCCAGACTGGGCAACAAGAGCGAAATTTCGCCTCAGAATTACTAATAAAACATATTTAAAATACTGTGTAAAATTTAATATCCAAAGATTACTGCCTCTTTTGGTGTCAAGTAAACCCAGCAATGTTCTATTCTAATGCTGTATTTAAATGCAGGGAAGAGGCTTAATGAATAAAGGTTTTGTGAAGCAAAATTTAAATTTCTGAATACAGAACTCTAAAGATTATTGTTATAACCCTCAAGACACAATTTTTTTTTTTTTTTAAGAGAAAAAGAAAGGCTCACTCTGTCACCCAGGCTGGAGTGCAGTGGCACAATCTTGGCTCACTGCAACCTCTGCCTCCTAGGTTCAAGGGATTCTCCTGCCTCAGCCTCCTGATAGCTGGGATTACAGGTGCACACGACCCCGTAGAGACAGGGTTTCACCATGTTGGCCAAGATGGTCTCAGTCTCCTGACCTCGTGATCTGCCCGCCTCAGCCTCCCAAAGTTGGGTTTACAGTCATGAGCCACGGTGCCTGGCCAAGACACAAATTCTACAGCAGCAGTTCTCAATGAGTGGTCCAGAGATCTCTTCAGCACCTGAGACATTTTTATGCAGCCTATAAAGTTAAAGCCATTTTAAATTATTGGCTTTTTCCCAAGTGTACATGAAATTTTCCTAAGGTTACATGATATGTGACAGTATCATTCTGATGACTAATGAACACACATATTTTTAAGTTTTAAAGTTTTAATTTCTAACATAGTAAATAATGATGATATAAACAAAAAGCTCTTTAGAGTCCTCAACTTTAAGAGAAAGGGTTTTGCTCTGTCTCCCAGGCTGGAGCACAGTGGTACAATCACAGCTCACTCACGGCAGCCTTGTTATCTTGGGGTTGGTCAGGTGATCCTCCTGCCTCAGCCACTCAAGTAGCTTGGACCACAGACATCCACCACCACGTATGGCTGCTTTAAAAATTATTTGTACAGACACAGTCTCCCCCTTTGCTGCCCACGCTGGTTTCAAACTTCTGGGCTCAAGTGATCCTCCCACCTCAGCCTCCCAAAGTGCTGAGATTACAGGCCTGAGCCAACATGCTCGGCCAGCAAATCTAACCAGTAACACTAATGTTCAAGGAACCATGAGTACACGTTAAAGAAAAATCACATCTAGGGCTCACTTTGTTAGCAAAAATCTTTAAAAATGAAACAATAAAGATTAGCATGGCCCCTGCCCAAAAAGGACATGTAAACTCATGAAGTGTTTCTTTTTTTTTTTTTTTAAGTCCCATCTGGATAAACAAGAACATTCAACAGCTGAAAGATACCAGGCAACAACAATCCTTGTTAAAAGTCCAATTAATTCAGAACAGTTGTGACAAAAAGGAAAGAGTAAAGAAATAGAGAACAGGCCGGGCACGGTGGCTCACACCTGTAATCCCAGCACTTTGGGAGGCTGAGGNCTGGGTAACAAGAGCGAAACTCCGTCTCAAAAAAAAAAAAAAATACATGATTTTTAAAACTCTTGCTCTTAAAGATTTTTTTGCTATTTAACATTCTAGATAAAAGTTCAAATTAAAATGGAGTCATGTTTTGGAAAGTTAATTATCTCTTATTCATTTAGGAAAGACACCCCCCCCCCAAAAAAAGTAAAATTATTTTCAACATGGCATTATTACCAAATAGTCTCAGTAGATGTGGCGCTCCATACACCTGGGACATGGGTGCATCAGGGTGATCTGCAAGAATTTCGGCATACTGTGGTCTCTCAAATTTGTACAGTAGCTGGGTACCCAACATTACATTGAAGTATTCTTTAATCCCTGCCACAACTTCATTAACCGCATACTCCCTGATAAATGAACAGAAATATTCCAAAACTGGTCAATGAAAAGAACTGAGATGGAGAATAATTTAATCAACCAATTTAAAGAATTAAGAGTTGAGCTAGTAACAATGAACCCACAGCTGAGATTTTTTTAAAAGGCACATGAAAGCAGCGTTTGACAAGCTTACATTTTCATATGGTTATGCAAATATTTACATGATAGCTTAAATTTTGCCTAAAATATTTACTATCTCTGGCCCTTTAAGAAAAAGTCGGCCAGCCAAATCCTACGTCAAAGCAGTGAAATTCTATTTTGCTAGTTTCTGGTGGTATGTTTCAGAGTCCATACAAATTTCAGACGATTTATTTAGAAACATTTTTTTTTTTAAATGTCTTTGAGTGTATCTGAAAGGTGTATATTCTTACTTATTATCTGTGTTTCCACGAGATTTCTTGTAATTTGCATAATCCTCAAGAATGGAATCCACATTCTTCTTGGCAGGAAGATAAAAGAGCTAGGAAGACAAAAACATGCTTGAATATAAGCACTCTTTTTTTAAAAAATACACCAGGAAAATTTTTACACAATTAAAAAATCACATAACAGTGTTTCAAATTAGGAAAGACACTATTCAGCACTTAAAACATGGACAATGTGGCCTAGAAACTTTTAGTTACAACAGTTTAATTACAAACAGTTTCCAACTTACAATGGTTTGACTTAATTTTCCAACTCTCTGCTGGGCTTATTGGGATGTAACCCCATTCGAAGTTATGGAGCATCTATATATTTAAACAGCCAAATGTGGCTACTGAGGCCCTACTGGACAGAACAGTACAGCTTTTAAAAAATATCAAACTGTCAGACACACATAACAGACACAAATGTGCCTTTGTGGTATTACCAAGTCATCGTTTACTGTTATGCATATTATTTGCTAGACCTAGTCTAAAGCATTAAAATAGTTATCTTTTTATCCTCTCATCAACATTGTCAAATAGGAGCTATTATTCCATTAAATGCAGAAACAAAAGCACAAAAAGGCTAAGAAACTTCTCCACGCTCACAAACAGTAAGTGATACAGCCACGGCTTGAATCTTCGCAGTTTAGCTGTAACTGCATAATCCTCCAACAGATTCAAATCAGAATTCAAACTATGTCATATATTGTATATGACTGATATGTCTTAAGTCTCATAATCCTCAAGCAGTCCCTAATCATCTCCCCCCACCATCCCTAACACTACCTATGCCATTTGTTTAAATAATAATTTGTCCTACAAAATTCTCAATTATAGAGTTTAATGATTGATAAACATGTCGCTCCATTAAACATCCTAGTTCCTGCAAATTAATAATAGACCCAGGAGTTTAGATTCAGGCTCTTTTCAGGGTCATGAATACCTTGCAGGTGGTGATAGGTGCTTTCTATGGCCTACCACTAGCAGTGACGAAAACACAGTAAACACATGCTTCTTTGCCTTTCAGAATTAGTTCCTGCCCTAGCAATCTCCAAAAATTAGTTACTGCCACCCTTATCATTACAAACTCATAAAAGCTTTTTTTTGCTAGCAAGAATGTATCACATTAGCTTAACAATCTGGGCAGCTTGCAATTTACCTGCTTTTGCCTGGTAATTAAGTCCCAGTCATCAACAAGCCACGGTTTTAGTTCTTCAGGAATCTTTACTTTAACTTCAACTCTGTTCATGAATGTTTCCTCCTATATAGAAATAAAAGAGTATTTAAAAACCCATCTTTATCACGCCACACACGCCAGGGTGGGCAACAGAGCGAGACACCATCTAAAAAAAAAGAAAATAAAACAAAACCAAACCCCTATCATTTCTTGCTAAATACTAAAAATGGAAGGGAGTTGACTTTTAGAGACACTACGTATAAATTCTCAAAGTAGCTAAGCATACAGCTGGAAGTGTCATTTTTAAAAACTGTAAATGAAAAAGACCACACACAGCTTTGCTGCTGGGAGAAAAGAATCTGACCTTGAACCATAGTCTATTTAGTGCATTATCACGTGAAGGTAAAAATTCTTCAGTAAAGTTCCTCTTGTTCAGGAAATAAAACACCCTGACTTGATACGTTTTAACTTAGTATTTTCATATTTATCACTGACATCAAAACAACTATTCCACACACAACCATCTTAAAGATCCATCCTGAACTCATAAAAGTAAATATATTGATTTCTGATAGTTTTCAAAAGCTGCCCCAAAATGCCTACTTTCAGATTCTACTATTTTTTATAAGCATACTACTGCTTTATAACTTCAGCTTCAGATATAAACTATGCCAGTTAGAAATTAAAATTCTAGGCTGGCTGCGGTGGCTCATGCCTGTAATCCCAATACTTTGGGAGGCTGAGATGGGCAGATCATGAGGTCAAGGGATCAAGACTATCCTGGCCAACTTGGTGAAACCCTGCCTCTACTAAAAATACAAAAAGTAGCCAGGTGTGGTGCCACGCACCTGTACTCCCAGCTACTTGGGAGGCTGAGGCAGGAGAATCACTTGAACCCAGGAGGTGGAGGTTGCAGTGAGGCATTATCACATCACTACACTCCAGCCTCGGAAACACAGCAAGACTCTGTCTCTAAACAAACAAACGTTTTTAAAAAATCATTGAATGTGAAATGTCAAGTAGTAGAACACATTCCATACAGACACAGGTCCAAAGAAGGTATTTATCATTAGTAAAGCAAAGACGATACATTTTTGCCTAGATTCTCAAGTTCATGTTGCAGTTTTAAATTTATTGTAAAATAAACGATTGCAATGAGAAAATTCACTTACAGAAACATATAAGTAGGAATTGAAAACTCTCCCCTTTCATCCCAACTCATGCCCAACTAAGATCCACTTTGGAAAGCCAGATGTTAACGCAAGGTTAAAATAATGTTTCTCTGCAAACAGGAAACACACCATACTTCTCTACTACAACTGGGCTGTTTTCCATTGAAAACATAGGGACATCTTTATCAGTAAGTTTAGGGTGACCTCATCCTTTTAATAGCTGCTTGTTTCAAATTCTTCACTATGATAAAAATGCCCTCCAAAACTTGTAGAAACCAGGATTGCCCTTCTCTCCATTTCTTTAAACATTTAAACCTCAGCCGACCTGATAAATGCTGCTTTACTGACAGTTTATAATTTTATCATTTTCTTTTTACATATTTTTAATGGTCCTTTGTGCTGCCACTACTGTAAATTTCCTTTCCTACTTTTCATTGGTTTGTTCATTACTTATTGAATAAGAATTGTGTATTAAAGGTACCAGCAATTTATCATACACGGAACACTACAACACCATGAAAATATTACATTTGTCCTTTCATTGTCTTAACAGTTTTAATTTTAAACTTCAGATTCATCTAGGATTTGGTACATGACAGTAAGTGGGAATTTAACTTTGTTTTCTTCCAAATTGTCAGCTGTCTTTATCAGCAATCTACCGGACTGCACTGCTTTCCCCTATTGCACTGAGACTCCCACTATGTATTTGCACTTATGTATATCGCTCCATTAACCATCTAAGCCTGTACCAATATAATATTTAATGTTGTGGCATCTATACTGCCAATCCCTCCCATTACACACTAATTTTCAAATTCATGTTTATAATACCAAGCACAGACTTACTTTAGGAAATCGTGAAGATAATTCAGTAATAAAGCAAGGCTTTTCTCATCCAGAGGTGTATAGGCCAACATTGCTCCAATTCGTACTGTTTAAACAAGAGAATTTATTGAAAGTTACATCCAAGGCAGCAGCCCTTTAACCATGTATTTTAATTTTGTGGGCAAATGCAAATTCCTTTAAAGTACATGATTTTAGTCTGGGCACAGTGGCTCATGCCTGTAATCCCAGCATTTTGGGAGGCCAAGGTAGGTGATCACTTGAGATCAGGAGTTCCAGACCAGTCTGGCCAACATGGTGAAACCCCATTTCTACTAAAAATACAAAAATTAGCTGAGTGTGGTGGGGGGCACCTGTAATCCCAGCTATCTGGGAGGCTGAGGCAGGAGAATCGCTTGAAACAGCAGGCAGAGGTTGCAGTGAGCTGAGATAGCATCACTGCACTCCAGCCTGGGCGACACAGTGAGACTCCGTCTCAAAAATAATAATAAAATAAAAATACATGAGGCCGGGCGCGGTGGCTCACGACTGTAATCCCAGCACTGTGGGAGGCCGAGGCGGGTGGATCACGAGGTCAAAAGATCCAGACCATCCTGGTCAACATGGTGAAACCCCGGCTCTACTAAAAATACAAAAAATTAGCAGGGCATGGTGGCACACGCCTGTAATCCCAGCTACTCGGGAGGCTGGGGCAGGAGAATTGCCTGAACCCGGGAGGCGGAGGTTGCGGTGAGCCGAGATCGCGCCATTGCACTCCAGCCTGGGTAACAAGAGCGAAACTCCGTCTCAAAANAAAAAAAAAAAAAAAAAAAAAAGGAAAAGAAAACAAACAAAACTTTATTTTCAAATTCATACCTTTGGAAATTATGAATTAGGAATGAGACACTTTGCAAATTATATATAAAAATTCTAAACTATTAAGCACTCATCCACATATGAGAAACTAATAGGCTTTCTTGGTATTTTTGCAGGTTAAACCATCATGTAATTTAATAAACCATCTAATATGACCCAATAAGTGTACCCAGTCTAACACCAAAGACATAGTCTTGTAGGTGAACATGAAGCTTACACAACAAATGATGATCAATTGGGTAGGTAAATCTAGAGCTACCAGGTGAAATAAAGATGTACAGAAACATGTCCTTTTCCCCGAAAAGAGAAAATGTTTAATTTTGGGAATTGACCATGTAAGCAAAGCTTATGGAAGTTCTATGATTATGTGATATAACTGAGACTAAAAATCCTAACACACTATTCATAAACTCAAGACAAACTCACATTTTCAACAGTAGGATCTACCCGGGCCCTTTTCTTCCGAGGAGGCTGAGGGGTCTCACTGGTACTGCCACCATCTCCATTTCCAGGTGCTGTAAATGTTGGGGGGGAGGGGTCTCATTTTAGCTAATTTAACAAACTCTTTAAGGAAAATAGTCTCTTGACACATTCTCCCTTTTCATTTCTCCATTACACAGCTGTTACCGGAATCTTAAGTTAAAGAATCACATTCCTACCAAAAATACAACTTTCATGAAGAGCTCTACCAAACATTTAATATAGGCAACATTTAACATCACTATCTTCCATTTATTTAAAAATCTTCTCAGTGGGAGTCATTAAGACTAAAGCAGATGAAAATAAATGCCCATAAGTTTCCCCTTGGTAAAAAGAGGTCTCTACTACGATGTACCTATTTTACAACACTCCTGTGAGACTCCATCTGAAAAAATCAATAAACATAAGCTTACTCCAAAGTTTCATACCTTTCAAAATAGTGCAACTCAAAATGTCAATGTTGTCACAAAGGTAACATAAATTACATCAAGAAAGTTAATATTCTTACTTTTCTGTTTGTTCTTTTTTGTTTTCCTAAAAGGAGAGAAAAAGAAAAAAATAATTATTTCCAGTAAAACTACTTTTGTTTCAATTTCCTTTATCAGGGTTAAGTTCACAGAGAAATGCTAACTTGGATAAAAGATAAGGTAGTAAATAGCTGGTTAAATTCCCATCTCTCTCCACAAAACACAATAAAATAAAATAAACCATGCCAGTGGCAGTGGCACATGTCTGTAATCCCAACATTTTGGGAGGTAAAGGTGGGTGGGTCTCTTGAGCTCAGAATTCAAGACCAGCCAGGGCAACACAACCAATCCTGTTCTCTATAAAAAAAAAACACAAAAAGAAAGTAGGCGAGGCCAGGCGCAGTGGCTCACACCTGTAATCCTAGCACTTTGGGAGGCCGAGGTGGGTGGATCACCTGAGGTCAGGAGTTCGAGACCAGCCTGGCCATCATGGAGAAACCCCATCTTAAAAAGAAAAAAAAAAAAAAAGAAACCAGGCATACTGGCACACGCCTATAGTCCCAGGTACTTGGGAAGCTGACACGAGACGATGGCTTGATCCCAGGAGGCCAAGGCTGCAGTCGGCTGTGATCATACCACTGCACTCCAGTCTTAAAGCAAACCAAGAACAATTTAGTAAACAACTTCCTTCTTCCAGGATTATATTTATATATGTTAAAGTACATGTTACATTATTAGGCCCACCAAAAAAAAAAAAAAAAGTGTCAAAGGTTAAAATTTTTTTCCAATTATTTAATATTTTCCCCCAGATATTTTTAGATTTGTGTATTTGTTTTATTGATTTTTTGTTGTTTTTGAGACAGTCTTGCTCTTGCCCAGGCTAGAGCACAATGGTACAATCATGACTCAGTGCAGCGTCGACCTTTGGGGCAAAAGCAATCCTCCCACCTCAGCCTCCCAAGTAGCTGGGACCAAAAGCACACACCAACACACTCAATGAATTTTTTGTTTTTATTTTTTATTTTGCAGAGATAGGGTCCGTAGTGCTGTTACCTAGACTTGTATACTTCTTAAATATCAATCTGCTACTCTATTCTCACTGGTCCGAACTTTGTTTCACTTTATTTCTTCTCTAAGTTATGCTCCTCCTTGTTCAACACTACACACTCCATATCCCATATTCAGGACAATGCTCAAGTCTGCGCAGCTTGATTACCCTAACAGGAACCTAACTCCTATCTACTTATGTACTGCCAAACGGAAAATTACTAATTGTGCTTTTTAATTTTAATTTTTTGAGATGGAGTCTTGTTCTGTCAGCAATCTCGGCTCACTACAACCTCCGCCTCCTGG